TCAGCTGTTAAAATTGTAAAATTATTTCCGTATTTGTTATATTACACCAACAAAAATTTGAATAACAGAATTTTTGCTGGTATTGCAGTGTTTATAGATAAGCAGGTAGCTTTATAGAATTTGGACTATGTTGGCTGATTTAGGGAGCATTGCAGGAACAGTGGTTTTGCTCTGGACTGAGTGTTTTCTGGAAATGAGGACAATTCTATGATGGAATATCTTTGTAGTTTTTATCCAAGAGGTAGAAAGAATGGCACAGTTAAAGCGGTGGCTGGTATAGAAGCAACAGTCACTCAGACCAGGAAGAAAAAGAGGGTGGCCTTTTTGTTTTTGTTCTACATGAAGAGAGAATGGCCTTGTTTATGTCTTTTACTATCATGATAAAAATGATCTTTTCTGAGGCAAGTATTTGGCTATGTCCCAAGTCAGTGCCTGGGCTTGAATCCAGGTTTCTAATGCAGACTCTGGGAGTTGGCATAATGGCTCAGTGGTTGTCTCCCTGCCGCACATGTGAGAGATTCACATTGACTTCCTAGTTTCTGAATAAGTCCTGGCCCAAGCTCAACTGTTTGTAGGTATTTGTGTAGTGAATCAACAGATGGAAGCTTTCTCTCCCTATCTCTCTCTTTCCCTGACTCTCATATGAATCTGTATGCATGAAATTTGAGTTCTAAGACATTGCTAATGCATCAAAAAAGAACACCATGGCATAGCTGCTGTTGCCAGTATAGTTCCCAGTTGTCAGTTACTGCTTTTCTTTTGTTTTATTTTTCAAGTATGAAAGAAAAATAAAGTATGTTAAAATGATCATAAATGATTAATGAATGAAAGTTATTCAGGGTGGATATTAAGAAAATATTTTACTGTACATACATCATTCAAGAAGTCGTCTAAATGATTTGAAGGGATAAACCATGAGAAGCCTTGGGAAAGGATTACAATGGTTTTAAAAAACAATGGATATGATGTTATACCAATAAGGCTAAAAAAGGCAGTGCCTTCAAGTAGTCATCAGTACATTTGTATTTCAAGTCACAGTCATGTTTGGTTCAAACTGGTGAGGCAGCTTAGCTGTACAAGGTTGTCAGATGACCCAAGCTCTATCAACATATGTGCCATCCTCAAAAGAATGGCATTTGCTTGTGGTTATAAATAAGTCCACAGTCATGAAAAAAAAAATAAGGAACAAAATGTTCCAGGAGCAAGGTTTATCTTTAAAGTATAAAATCTACTGGTTGGACATCTCTAATTCATTCAAACTCCCATTGGTTCCAACTTAGCCATTCCTAGTGACAAGGGACACTGGAAACTTAGTCACTAATCGAGTATCTTGTGCCGTGTGTCTTTAGGAAAAAGCATTTTTTGACAGAAGAGCTTTCCAGAAAAGGAATTTCAGCAACTACGAAGGTTCTGAAAAGGAAACAAGCCGGCTGTGTTAACGAAAGAACAAGAAAGTTGGTGTGTGTGGAGAATGCATGGAAATAAATAAAATGTAGATCATTGCCAGAGCATTCAAGGCCTGCTAAGATGAATTTGAATTTTATTCAAAGTGAAAAGAATTGAGGATGTGTTTTATGACAAATTATTTTCACAGCAAGTTTCAGGTTCACAGTCAAATTAAGAGGAAGGCACTGAGATTTCCCAACTACCCCTTGCCCTCCCAGATGCACAGCGTCAGCCACCATCAATATGCTCATGAGAATTGTACATTTATTGGCACTGGTGAACCTAAATTGACACATCATTATCCAAAACCCATAGTTAACATTGGATTTCACTCTTTAAAAAAAAAAAGATATTTTATTTCTTTGAAAAGCAGAGTTACAGAGATGCAGAGCCAGAGAAGAGAGAGAAGTCTTCCATCCCCTGGTTCACTCCCCAAATGGCCGCAACGGCCAGAACTGGGCTGATTTGAAGCCAGGAGCCAGGAGCTTCCTCTAGGTCTCCCACGTGGGTTCAGGGACCCAAGCACTTGGGTCATCTTCTACTGGATCCCCAGGCCATAGCAGAGAGCTGGGTCGGAAGTGGAGCAACTGGGGCTTGAACTGGAGCCCATATGGGATGCTGGCACTGCAGGCGGTGGCTTTACCTGCTATGCCACAGTGCCAGTCCCTGGATTTCACTCTTGCGGTCGTTCATTCTACGTTTGGATAAATATGTAAGGAGATGTACCTACCGCTTCAGTACCATAGAGATTAACATCCCCTGTGCTTAGTCTATTCATTCTTTGCACCACAATTCCTTACAATCACTGATCTTTTTTGCCTTTTCCAAATTATCATATACTTTACCTTTTTATTATAAAGCTTTACCTTTTCCAAATTATCATATACTCAGAATCATACAGTGTATAACCTTTTCAGACTGACTTCTTTCACTTAGCAATGGGCATTTAAGTTTTTTTTATGCCTTTTCATGATTCAATAGCTCATTTCCTTTTTAATGCCACTGATATTCCATTGTCTGGATGTGGAGCAGCTTATTTACCTGTTTATCTAGTGAAGGATGTCATGTTTCCTTCAAAGTTTCAGTAGTTGTGAATAAGTCTGTGATAAACAACTGTGTGCTAGTTTTGTGCATGTATATGGGAGGGCATGTCTTTTCAAATTTTCTGGGTTAATCTTAATCTCCCGTTATTTAGGAGTTTTCCATCTATCTTCTCATCATTTATTTCTACTTTAATTATATTGTGGTCTATGATTTCCAGATTAAAAATGACTTGAGGGTAATGTATACTCTGCTGTTGTTTGATGAAGTATTCTACAAATATTTATATACAGTTAATTGATGGTGAAGTTGAATTCAATTATGTTCCTATTACTTTTTTCCCTGCTCAATCTATTTCTGACAGACGGTTACTGAAGTTACAACTATAATAATGGATTCATTCATTTCTCCTTGAAGGTCTATCAATTTTCTTCAAATATTTTGACACTTTCGTTAGGTGCATATACATTAAAAATTATCGTGTCTTCTAGGAGAGTTGAAACTTTTATCATTATGTAATGCCTTTCTTTATTCTGATAACTTTCCCTGTTGCAAAGTCTGCTCTGTCTGAAATTAGAATAGCCACTCCCACCCTATTTTCATTAGTGTTAGCATATTATCATTCTCTAGCAATTTACTTTTGATCTATATATGCCTTTCTATTTAAAATGATTCCTGTAGATAGTTATCTTGTTTTTTATTCACCCTGACAATATCTGTCTTTTAATTTTTACCTTTAGAACAAAGTGGTTACTGATAATGTTGGATTAATGTTTATAATATTTGTTACTTTTTTTATTTTTGTCCCTGTTCTTTGTTCTATATTAGTTTTCTTTTTCTACTATTTTCATTTTTAATTGAGTACTTTACAGTATTGTATTTGCTATTCTTCTAACATATCAATTGTAGTTTTCTTTTGTTGTTAGACTTGTTTTGAATAGTTGCTTCTCCTAGATTTTGCTAAGTCTATTTTCAAATAACATTATACCACTTCATGAGTGATATGAGCACCTTATAATAATAAAATAATCTTAGTTTCTTCCTCCCACTCCTTGTATGATGGCTGTCATTCATTTCACTTATTTATAAACATACAAGTGCCAACACAAAAGGCCTATGGAAAGGTATATAATGTATATAATGAAAAAGCTTTTACAGGTATTTCGATTTATTCTCACCAAAAAAGCTTATATTTTTCCACGAACTTTTTTGAAGCATCTTTGTGAGTGTGGTTACACACACACACACACAGAGAGAGATTCGTGCATTGCCTAACAATGGAGATATGTTCTAAGAAATAAATCATTATATGATTTTCTCATTGTGTGTCCATCATACAGAATGCCAACACAAACTAAAATGACTATGATATTACTAGATTGTATAATCTTATGGTAAAACTACTATGTATGTGACCCATTATTAACTAAAATGTCTTTATGGGATGCAATATATATAATATTATATTATTATATATAATACACATACATGCACACTTGTATATATAATCAAACACATTGATACTGCTTTTACTTGAAACAAACTCATTTGATAGATCAATTAAGAATTAAGCAAATAGTTCTTGTTTTATTTGCATTTATTCATTCTCCCATTCTCTTCTTTTCTTGTGCACATCTTAGTGTCTGACTTCTATAATTTCCCCCACTGTCTAAAGTGCTATTTTTAATATCTCTTGCAGGGGAGGTCTAGTGGCAACAGATTTCCTTAATTTTTGTTTACCTGAGAAAGTCTTTATTTATCCTTTAGTTAAGAAGGATAATTTTGCAGGGTATAATATTCTATATTGGTGAGTTTTATTTCCTCTCAGAACTTTTCACTCTCCCCTTGCTTGTATGATTTCTGAGTAGAAATCTGATTTAATTCTTATCTATGCTCCTCTATAGGTGAGGTTAGTTTTCCCTTTTGGCTTCTTTCCATATTCTTCCTTTGTGTCTGATTTTATGTAGTTTGAAAATGATATCCCTATGTATAGTTTTCCTGACATTTGTCCTTATTAGTATTTCCTGGGTTTCCTGGATTTGTAGTTTACTGTCTGATAATAGTTCATGGGAAATTCTCAGTCATTATGGTTTAAATATTTCTTTTGTTCCTTTCTTTCTCCCCTCCCCTCTGATATTTCTGTTATGCATAGACCACACCTTCGGTAGGTGTGTTACAGTACTTTGATATCCTAAACTTTCTTTTTTTTAGTCTTTCTTCTGTTTTCCAATTTTTTTCATATTTCTGTTGAGGGAGTAAATGGGGAAATATAAATGTTGTGATGGCTTATGCGATTGCAAGTATTATGTTAAAATAAATTTAGGAGGAGTTGCTTCAAGAATAGCTTTTTGCCACAAATGTACCCTCCTAATTTGGAAAAAAAATATTAGTCACATAATACCTCAGTGAAGTTAAAAACAAATCTTTCACTTATTGGATCAATGTGAAAAGAGGGTGAAACATTAATAAAAGTAACTCTTGTAATGGAAGCAAATCTTCAGAAAAATGTATGATTCTGATGGCTTGTTATCTTTTTTTATTAGCTATCAAGTTCATTTAACAGACAAAAAATTCAACTGAAGGTCATTCATTAAGATAGGCATAGTTAACAATAGTTCATTAATTGTTCTTTCATATGGTTCTATCTTACACAACCACTTTTGCTACATCTGGGAGATGCGTAAGTAAGTCTTGAAAAGAGCAAATTTCTACCAATCCAATAAAACATTCAGTCAAATACTAAAAGAGGTACTATTACTTTGTTTTTGGTTAATGATATGTAGCCCAGACTTTGCTGTAGCTCTTTGCTGTATCATTTATAATTTGATGTAAAATGTCAAATATTTTGACTATTTAAACAATTCATAATGTGCTTTGCAAAATTACAAAACATTATATGGATGTCTCAACTAATAGCTACTCCAATTATACACGATACATCATGCTCAAGATCTAGATTTATTTGAAAACATTTAGTCCAATTTAAATTAATGCAGAAAAGTCACATTCAATAAACCACAATTTTAGAAGAGACAAAATTATTGTGCTCTGTCACATTGTCACACAAATATAATTTGATGTTTAAAGAATGATAAAACACAATCACATGTAAATGAAATACTGATTTTCTCAGTAGTAGTAAGAACCTCTTTTGAGGATATAGGGTCTTCTGGGCTTATTTTCATACAGCTGCCGCTTCAGAATGTAAGGAATTTTTCTCTTTATGACTTCTTCCTTTTCATTTTTGTCATTTCCATTATCAAGAATATCTTCCTGTATTAACTATAATATAAAGAGAACAAAACTAAAAGTTACAGAAATGAAATATTTCATTGTAAGGATTTTCCTACATTAAATCACATTGCTATTTAGGTGGCAAGGTACATATGGATAAGGTACATGAGGTTCAAAGAAATTGTTTTGCCAAGGAACAGTTCTTAAGTTTTACAAAGAACTTGATAACTGTGATAAGATCAGAATCTGGTCTTTCGAGTTCTCTATTCAGGGTTCTTCCTAGTTCACCAAGCTAACTCTTTTCAAGAAACTTACATATATTTGAGAACATAACACTAATCCCTCCAATTGAAAGGACACACCAAAAGACATCTCAGTATTTTTCATCCTTGAGTTTATGATGGAGAGAACAAAATGGTAAGAACTATATATTTATATATATGTGTGTGTGTATGTGTGTATATATATATATATCACAACAAACACAGTTTTGAATCTAGTAAATCAAGTTTGGCTGTAAAAGTAACAGGATTTTGCATACAAGTAAGTCAAATACTGACTTGACTTGGATTTATTTTCAATCTTAAAGAATTCTTGCTCTTCTTAACCTACTCATTCATTGTAGAAATCGACATATATGAAAGCTATGTTTAAATGATTAAAATCTCTTTGGAGTGTGATTGCCTTCTAAGCCTTGGGGTCACTACAACTAATATTGGCATTTAAATTATAATGCATGTGCATACAATCCTGACAACAGTACTTTATTTTAGCCCACAGCTATTCAATTTCAGAGAAAGAAAAACAGCTACTGTCAGACAATCTCATTTCTTAATCTTTAGTTCCTCTGTGCATAGTCTGTAATTACTTGTACTATGCTCTATGCTCAGAATAATATTATCGTTTTATTTTTAAATCACTCAATAACATTCAGAATAGAAAAAGTTCCAATCTTATGTTCACTTGATTCGTCTTCATAAGAGTGTATTGAGAGTCTTTTTCTTTTGGATAAATCGCACATAATTAACATTTCCCTATGTCAAAATTGGTATTATTTATGTTTTATTGGCCTAAACAATATTTTAAGATTAAACCATTTAACTGGAATTGAAATTAAAGGATGACTAGCACAGCAAGTAAAATTAAAACTGGCCTTTTTGGTTTTTCATCTGGAAAACATCTTTTTGCTTGCCATCTAGAATAAACACTAGAAGTTTTGCTTGCATTTCATCTTTTCCACAGGATATCTGTGGTAGTCAGGAGTAAGTTCATTATACCAGCAAGCATGTCACCCTCAAATCTTGTGTTGGTATAAATTCAGAATACAAAAACATTAAGCAAATTTTTCTTTTAGGTTGATCTAAAAGAAGTGTTTCCCCTTGGGGGAAAATTTAAATTTCTATTTTCTATTAAAGCATTTTTTTAGACTCATCTTTTTTTCATATCTTTCCAATAGTCTAGCTTATCTTTTACAGCAACATATATCAATTACTGCAGTAAATTGTAGTGCTTTATTTTGAATAATCTTTAAGCTATTAATTTTGAAAATAATTTATTTTAAAGGTAAGCTATAACATATTTAAAAGTATGCCTTTAACAATGCCATGCTCAATTATGTCTTTAGTAGGAGAAAAGAGAATGAAATTAGAACTAGTATCTCAGGAATGGAACACATTTGAGTGTATAAGGATGAAAACTGTTGAAACTGTCAGATACTTAATTGGAAATCACAAGATATAGATAACCAAGGTGAACTCTCTACCTGGTGTAGGACTAATCTTATGAGTATAAAAATAAACTGAAAATTGATCACTGTGAAAAATAAGAATGGCAAGGGAAGAAGGAGGAGGAAGAATGGTTGGGGTATGGGTGGGAGGAAGGTACAGGGGGAAGCATCTTGTTCCCAAATCTGTATATATTAAATGAATGAAGTTGTATTCCTTAAACAAAATAAATTATTTTAAAAATCTAAACACTTACAAGGCAGAAATAAAAATATAGATAACTCTGATGGCTGGAGATTGAAAGCAAATTGCCCTTAAAATACCTATAAAGCATTCAAGGGCAACACTTTCTGAAACCTGTCCTAGTGTCCAGAGAGATAAGTCTTATCTGCCAGATCAGTTTAACTTGGGTGATGTGCACAATGGGTCTATTTTGCATTAACAAAGTGGGGCAACCTTGCATAATCCTTTGTTCTTTATCTCTACATTCCTTATCTTGTCCAAGAAATGTCCTTCTTTGAATTGATCAGTAGCCCTCTTTACTGAAGTAGTACCCTTCTTGAAGATGTTTGTAACCACTCCTATTCAAAATCAAGAATTTACAACTTGAGAAATGTATCCCTGCTTACCAAAAAAACCTTTTTGGGCCAGTAAGTTTAATGTGTTGCAATAAAAGAAAATTTACTCGCATGAAATGCATAAATTCTCACTAGAATGTGACTAATTTGGAACACTTCCCAATATTCATCAAAAATCTTTGGTGTTGAGTCTCCGTGTAAGTCACTCTTATTCTGTAATGAATAAACATTATATTTACCTTCTTACAGAACCTGCTTTTTTTTTTTTTTCACTAACAGGATATTCTTCAGGGTAGGCGTAGAATATTCTAGTTAATTAATTTCTTATCGCATTTACTCATATATTTGGTTCTGCACATTTACATTATGTGAACCCATGGAAGAACTGTTCATTGTTTTCAGACAACCTAGTTCTAGATGACTGGCTCTGGACATACATCAACTAACTGTTAGGAAACTGGCACAGTTGTAGCCAGGTGGCCGCATGGCCCAGCTACCTGAGCAAGGCTCCACCCCCATCCTAATGAGATTCGCTGCTCCTGCTTCCCTGCCCGCCCTCAGGCAAAGTTTTAAAAGGGCCTGTTCCTGCACACGTGCTCTCTTGCCCCTTCTCTCCTGCTGTCTCTCTGTTCCTCTCTCTAGCCTCCTCCTCTGGGCTCTTGGCTCTTGGCCCTTCTCTCCTGCACTCTCTTGTCTCGTCTCCTCCTCTCTGTCTCTCTCTTTTATAGTCTCCTTCTCCCTTTTTCCTTCGCCGCCCCTTCACTCCGGTCTGTAGGGTGTTCCCCAATAAACCCTTTCCCTTACTCCGGTATCCGGTGTGCTTTGCGACGGCTAACATTAAGATATAACACTAACTGCAAGTCAAATTTCACCAAAGATTCTTGAAATTTTCCAAACACACGTTCTCAAATAAAATGTGGTGAGTACCAGCATAGTACTTAATACAACTTATTCACCCAGTTTCTCATTGTAGTTCTGTATGATGAAACTTAGCTGTCGTGGCTATAGTGAACCTAGTTTAGCTGCTAAGAATGCCTGAAATTCACAAACATTTAAAATAGGACTACAAACACATGCACAGAGTCATGTATTTTTCTTTATAAACAAACACAAATCAAAGAGTTCTGGATAAAAGTGGAATGATAAAAATATATATCATATATATTTTACAAATTACAAAAAGATTTTATTTGCATAATGTATTTAAATACAAATTAAATTTAAAAAATGTAATGAAAGGTATATATCTCCCTATCTTATATGTTTTATATAAATGAATGTATGCATAGGTATATGTGTATTTTATTTGCATAAATTTAAAAAATGAAATGAAAGGGATATATCTCCCTATCATATGTTTTATATAAATGATTGTATGCATATGTATATGTGTATTTTATTTGCATAATATATTCAAATGCAAATAAAATCTTTTGTGTTTATTCTGGTTTTATTTGGAACACTTTGCATCTTGCATTTGTTTGTAGATAAGTAAACACATGACTTTGTGTTTCTAAGAAAACGTTTTGAATTCCTTAAATTTCTTAGACATGCCACAACCACCACCAACATCAAAAATTGCCAAAACATGTCATCCACTTAAGCATAATAAAGCATATGGATCAAATCTGCCTTAAAATCTATCCCTTTTTAAGATTTAAGATAAAATATTTTTTCTAAACTCCAAATATTGTAAGAACTCTTTGAAGATTTGGAGGAATATTGATCTCAGCACATGGTTTATTCTTTAATATTCGTGATTCTTCCTGTTATGATATGATTGGGATAAAAAATCAATACAAATGAGAGCTAACTAGTTTACATATAATTATATTCATATTTTGTTTTTGTTTTACCTCCCAGTGTTGAAAGGCTCTGCTGTGGCAGATTTTTTGGAGCTGGTATATTGTCAGCATTGCTTCCAAGCTAAAGCCATCTAAAGTGGTAGGGAATCTCCTTCTTGTAACAAGCTCCTCTTCACGAACCTCTCCTGTTTCTTCAGCTTGGCTGTTCAGGTTATTCACAAAACTGCAAACATTGAGCAGGGTCATTTTCCAAGAAGGAACACTTGCTTTAGTGATCTGAAATACAGAAGGCAAAACAACTATTTGAAATAAAACTTGTGGAATATGAGTAAGAAATAAATTTCTATTAAGTTAATTCATGGCATTTTGGAGTTTAATTGTTACTCTAGCCTAATAAATATAGTATTGCTGATATAATAACTTCATGTCATAAGTTAAATTCTTGGCATTCTCTGGATAATAGAATACATAATAGAGTTAGACACACATACACACACATACATACATGCATATACACAACAATTATATATGAAAGTAAGATATTATAGATGGTGGCCAGTAGACATATATATGTCTACACATGTCAGAGATGAAAAAACTAAAATTCAAAAAATATAATTTGCTTTTCATTATGTTCCAGCTTAGTGCCTAATGCAGCAAGAACTAAAATGATATTAATAGACTTGGACAATTACAATAGTGTGAGGCTGTTAACATATTCCTCACATTAATACCTGTCATGCAAGCATTAGAGCTGACCAATTTATTTGTGAATTATAATTATAATATTTCATGGAATTTATTTTCTAATAAGGCCTTTGTTTAGATTTATTTTATTTATTTGTAAAACAGAGTTACAGAGAGTCAGAGTCAGAAACAGAAAGAAAGTTCTTCCATCCATTGGTTCACTCTGCAGATGGCTACAATGGTCGGAGCTGCGCCTATTGGAAGGCAGGAGTCAGGAGCTTCCTCTGGGTCTCCCATGTGGGTGCAGGGGCCATCTTCTACTGATTTCCCAGGCCATAGCCCATAAGGGATGCCCATGCAGCAGACCAGGGCTTTAACCTGCTGTGCCACAGTGCTGGGCCCCTCTAATAAGGTCTTGTTAAAAACCATAATTAACCATGATCAACAATGTTCCTCCATATCAACAATAACCAATAAGAAAACAAGGAGTAGGAAATCCCCTAGCAGTGAAATACTCAAAATGAGCAAAAAATTCAAAGGGCACAAATATTATTTTTTCTCAAAGACTAAAAAAGAGATTTAAATGAACACAAGGGCATTATGGACAGGCTTAATTATAATAATATCAAGCTATATTTTTTCTGAACTACTCTCCAAATACAATGTAATTGTAAATCAGTGTTCCAGTGTGGAAAACACAGGGATCCTGGAAGTTGCAGAATGGGATTTGGCAGAATAATTATAAAGGTTTGACCGAGTGAGAACAACCAAGAAGATGTAGAAAAATGGTGTCAAGGAAAGGCTTATTCTACTAAATGTTAAAATGCATTTGAAAGCTACAGTAATCAAAGGGGTGAATTAATAGTGCAGGGATAAACACAAAATCTAAAGGAAGAGAATATAATGTTCCAGAACGGACCCAAGTGCATGTTTGTGTGTTGTATACAGCAAAGGTTGCATCTCAAATATTTTGGGACAGTTATCTATGGAGATATTTACATGCAGATATGATTATAACCTTTTAAAAAGACTTATTATATGTCTGTTTTTTCAAAAGCAACATAACAGAGAGGGAGAGAGCGAGACAGAACTTCCATCTGTTGGTTCACTCCTCAAATACCCAAAGACAGGGCTGGGAATGGCCGAAGCCAGGAGTCAGGAACTCCACCCAGATCTCTCATGTGCGTGGTAGGGCCCAAGTACTTGGGCCATTTTCTTCTGCCTTCCAAGGCACATTAGCACGTATCTGGATCAGAACTTGAGTAGCCAGGACTTTAATTGGCACTCCAATATAGGACATCAGTATCGCCAGCAGTGGCTTAACCCACTGTGATGTAAAGCCAGTCCCTAGTTAGAACTTTTTTGATGTGTTATTTTCAAGCAATATCCAGATAGATTAATATGAATAAAATAAACTACTGTGAAAATGTAGGACAATTTATTTTACAAGCCAGGAGTGATAACCTTAGCAGATTCTAAATCAATTTCCATAAAGACAAAGATGATTTTAAATACAGAAATGTGTAAATCACCAATATCTCTATGGAAACATACAGCATCCTGAACTCAATCAAAATCAATCTATGTAGAAAAAACTGGCACAAAATTTTAGTATCCTTAACACAACTATTAAGATTTCAAAAAGAGGGGCCAGTGCTGTGGTACAGCAGATTAAAGCCCAGACTTGCAGCACAGGCATCCCATATGGGTCCCAAGTTGAGTCCTGGCTGCTCTACTTCTGATCTAGCTCCCTGCTAATGCACCTGGGAAAGCAGCGGAAGATGGCCCAAGTCCTTGGGCCCCTGCACCCACATGGGAGAATGGAGGAAGCTCCTGGCTCCTGGCTTCGGACTGGCGCAGCTCCGGATCTTGTGGCCAACTGGGGAGTGAACCAGCAATGGAAGACTTCTCTCTCTCTCTCTCTCTCTCTCTCTCTCTCAATGTGTGTGTGTGTGTGTCTGTCTCTCCTCTTTGTAATTCTTTCAAATAAATACAAATAAATATTTAAAAAAGATTTCAAAAAGAAGTGAGTAACTACCCCAATTCAAAAAAATACTTTAAAAATTGAAAATATTGCATTAGTAACAGAAGCAGAAAAATTATGGAATCACTCCTTCAAAGCAAACATGTAAGAGAAATATGTGGAGTAATTTTCAGTCTGGTTACCATCAGATTTGAAGACTTTATATGTACGACATTCAATTGTAACAATGACATGGGGAACAAGGCACTCCAATCCTAAACATCTGTGGTTCAGGGTTAGGTTTAACTTCTTGAAATCTGTTTTTGGGGCCGGCATTGTGAGATAGCTGATAAAAAACCGCAGCCTGTGGTGCTGCACTTTGTGTCCAGGCTGCTCCGCTTCTGATCCAGCTCTCTGTTAATGGCCTGGGGAAAGCAGCAGAAGATAGACCAAGTGTTTGGGCCCTTGCCACCTCTGTGGGAAACTGAAGGAGGCCCTGGCTCCTGGCTTGGGCCTTGCCTAGCCCTGATAGCTGCAGATAGGAGTGAACCAGAAGATGGACGATCTCTCTCTCTCTCTGTCTATCCCTCTCTGTAGCTCTGACCCTCAAATCAATCAATCAATCTTTAAAAGAAAAAGGAAGTTGTTTTTGGCAACACATGTAAAAATTGTAAATGTTCATAACGTTTGATGAATATGTCACCCTAAAGAAACTAAGCTGCTAACATAAAAATATTCACTATAATATTTTCAGTTGGCTCGGAAATCCTTTCTACTATACCCTTGAATATGGTTATCCAGCATTGTTTAACTTTTTCTGTTATTGGAGTATATTTTAAAGACAATATGCTCCCATTTTGTGACAGCAACACCTTATAATGTTACACTTCAGAGGATACTATAAATTTACCTTTGGAAAACTCTTTACAGATATTGTCTTGTGTTTTCCAAAATTTGTTCCTAGAACATTAGTTCTGCACTCACTGACAAAAAAAAAAAAAAAAAAAAAAAAAAAAAAGGTAAAGAAGAGAAAGAGTTCCACTGTTGAGTAAAGTGGAAAATGAATTTGAAAAAAATCAAAAGTTTTCCTGAATTTTAAGTGTCTCTGAGCTTTTTGCAAACCAGATATTCACTGTGACTTTTCAGTAGTGCCAGATAGAGCGTTCAATGTTCCCTAAACTAATTTGACCTTTGAAAGCCTGGTTTAAGTATCTGTGAACACAAGTATGAGATGCTTGTTCATAGGTGAGAAAATGAGCCAATCATTTCATTTTTTTTTTTTTTTTTGACAGGCAGAGTTAGACAGTGAGAGAGAGACAGAGAGAAAGGTCTTCCTTCCATTGGTTCACCCCCCAAATGGCCACTACAGCCAGCGCGCTGGCGGATCCGAAGCCAGGAGCCAGGTGCTTCTCCTGGTCTCCCATGGGGTGCAGGGCCCAAGCACTTGGGCCATCCTCCACTGCACTCCTGGGCCACAGCAGAGAGCTGGACTGGAAGAGGGGCAACCGGGACAGAATCCGGCGCCCCGACCGGGACTAGAACCCAGGGTACCAGTGCCACAGGTGGAGGAAAAGCCCATATTTCAATAACAATATTTCACTCTCAAAACAGTTTTATTTTCAAAATGTAATCACTCAGATATTCTACTTATAAAATTAAAAGAAGAAAGTTAAAACTTTTGAAGCTTTTAATAATGGAATTTTCCTCACACTAACGTCAAATATCTCAATTAAAATTTTAAATGATATATAACCCTTGTGCATATTTATAGGTATTGTGTGATGTTTCAATACATTTATATCCCATATCATGTTCAAATCAGGGTAAACACATGTATCCCTTCAATTTTGTATTATTACTTTGTGGGGAAAACACTTAAATTCTTTCTCTTGGCTTCCATTTTAAGAAAACGGTACAATATATTATTGCTAGTAAAATTTTAATGTAGTAAATTTGGCTAAAATAGTCCCAACTCTAGAGATTTCATTTGTGTAAAACTGTGAATATAGCAAAAATTATTGAATAACAAATAAATAAGAAAATGATTTTGTTTTAAAAATCAGGAAGAAAGTTTTTGTTCATCCTTGCAGCAAAATTGGAATAATAGTACTTCAGGATACCTACTTATCATACGTCATATCTTACTATCTCAAAGGTGACAATGGAATTTAATTATTTTCTTTAATCTGCTTTAGAGATCAGATGAAGCCAAAAAAAATTCTATTCTGTTAATACTCATACAGTGTATTTATTTATAGAGAAAAACAAAACCACTCTATATAGTAGAATCAATTTTCTTTCTGTGCAACATCTTGCTCATGGAAGAAATTAAAACCCTCCATTTTCACATGTTTTCAAAACATCTAGCATTCTTCAATCTATATCCTATTTTCAAGATTATTTAGAACTTTTATATGCCAATGTACACTTATAATTTCAGAAATGGAGTCTATATCAAGACACCAAGGCTTTCTATTCTCACCTATTTTCTAACCAAGACCATGAACTTGATTGTTTTCATTTTTTGGACTGAAAAAAGTGTAGCCATTGCTGTTCTGAGTGCAAAGCTAAGGATCTCTTATCATAAGTTAAAATATATTTGTACACTGTTTCAATGAGAAATTAAATTTTATCACCCCTGATATGAGATCTACCAAATTATGGTAGTATTTGGTTTCAATTAGATCGATTTTTCTAAATATGGCCATGATGAAAATCTGTGTGTTCTTAAATTTTCCCAAGTGTCTTTCAAGGACCCTTGTAGAACCTGTCTCTGTTAGCTTTATGATAACAGTGCCCTACACTGTCAAAACTGTTGCTTTTTACACACACAGAAAAAGTTCTTGCACACAAAAAGGGTTAGTTTTTCCTCCATATTTACTATTAAACAAAACTCAGTCTTACTTGTATATCAAGGATTGTTGTGCCTAGAACAAGATGACCCCATTAGGGAAGAGAAACTGAGATTCTAACATTTAGATTGGAATCTTGTTTCAGGATAAGGCAGGAGTTGTGAGCACATATGTTTCCACCTCAGCATCTGCTGAGTCTTCACCTTTGGCACAGCAGTGCTGTAACAATGATTGCGCCACTCAACTCCCACACTGCAAAATTTGTTTTTCCTTGAGAAACATCTTTTTGTTGAGAAGCTGTGTCCTGACCATACATTAAGATACACACTGACTCACTCCAAGTAAATCAATACTATATGGTATCATATTCCAAGGGAGATTTTCTGCTAAGTATAGGTTGGGAACCAGAAAAGTTGGCTTCAGAATTCTTGGAGAGGATTCATCAGGTTCATGAGACAAAGTTGCATTTAGTTTCATAAATGTACTAAGTAGGTACAGATGAAAACAGGAAGAATTTAAATACTGACATGCAATAAAAAGTAAAGTTAACATTTTTTAAAACCCTTATGGACCTGTAAATTTCTAGGATATCATGAACTACAACCATTGCATTTAAAAATAAGGAAACAAAATAAGTAATGTTAACTAACCCAATTGCTTGAGACCAAATAGTTGTCAGTTTGAGGATTAGAGCTCAATACTACTGTTCTCATCTTTCGCCCTTTCCTGTCTACCACATTTGCTTCTCGGGTAGTCATGAGCTTTCATTTTTAATTTAGGAAACCCATTTTGTTTTTCCTAACATAATGAAAAAAGGCAAAACATTCATTTAGTTTCCATTTTTGTATTTAACTCAAGGTCAATATCCCTTTTATCATACACAATGTAATAGGAATGCAAACAAATATCTTTAAATACATTTATATGTCTATATAAATTATAAATGTTTACTTCATTAAAGTTGAAATATGGTTATTAAAAGTCACTATAGCTTCTTTCCCTGTCACATCCACACCTTAACTTTTGAGAATTTAAAAAGTTGTCCAAAAAGGGAAATGCCTCCCAAGGAACCCTTCAGTCTTGATGGGAAATTATTACTGTAAGGAAAGGACACCATGTTTATAATGAAAGTTCAAATGTTCTTCAACCTTAGGTTAGAAGAAAGAAAAAGTTACCTTTGATGTATGCATATTGGTCAATAAATCTGCTTCTAATGCTTTCATTTCCTCTTCAGAATCTGAGTAAAATCAAAACCATATGTTTACTACAAAGTCACAACATACAACTATATTGTAATTTACAGATTTTAGATTCATGTCAAATAAAACTTAGTCTTAGCTTAGTGTCCATTTCCTGTATTTATTCTCCTTCAAATAGTATTCAGAAGAAGTAGATTGTGATTTTACTTTAGGCTGACAGGCTCAAAGAACAGAAGCACTTCTAAGAAAATAAGCACATATTATTTCCTAATAAAGATATTCATGATTTGGAGTTTTTAATCTCCGAACATGAGTAAAATTCTGATTATATTGTCTGACACTTGGTTAGATCAAATATGCTACAGTACCTTGTTGTTATCAGCAATAGTCTTCATACATAAAAATATGCATGTTGGAAAATGTAAGTACAACAAAATTTTTCAAGACAAATTCAAAGAGAATTGCTTATTGATAATTTTAAGACACTGAGATTTATTTACCTTAAGATACTATTTTATAAAGCATTCTTTGAAATATTGTTATGTACTTTAAAGAGGAATTTGGGATTATATGCACTTACCAATTTTGTCACAGGCAATTAAAGAAATTATTTAAGCTAAAGTGGAGCTGTCTATCAACATATGCACAATAATGTTGAAAATATATCTCAAATTTTTAAGATATTCTTTAAAAGTTTCCATTAATAAATATTTCAAAAATGAAAAAAATTATAAATACTACATGGTATTAGAAATAAGTTATCAAACACCATAGCAAAGTGAATTCATCCATATTCATTAACCTCTTTGATATAGGACAAAGTAGAGGATAAAAATACTTTTCTCTTCCTTGTACTAGATATTGTTACTGAAAAGAAGCATCACACTTGGAGAAAGCATTTGTAAAATTGTCTCTTAGGAACTAAATCACACTTGATGTCCTTTCCTCCTATTTGTTAGAAATGCAGTTGGTTTTTCAAAAGGAATGACAAATTCCACCAGTCACTGATGCACAGTGTACACCAAAATCCCCATAAATTTTGACTTACTACAGCAAATAGTATGAAGAGTAAGTAGACACAGTGTTTAACAATATGCTCTAAATATACTTTTAATCTCATGTAACAATTAGGTAAAATAATAATTTCACATAGAAAGATTTGTAAAACTAACCTGTCATTTTAATGATTATAGAAATGAAAACTTTTGCATAAATCATATTTATGTCTGGTGCTAGATTTTAATTTCATAGTTTTAAAAAAACCTTGAGTTTGAATTAAACATTTAGATATCATCATATCCATGTGCTATAAAAACATAACCAACTTAAATGATTTTTATTGTCTTTAAATACTAAGGTTTTTTCCACTTTGCTGTGATCATTCAATTATTTTACATGGAGTAATTGAAGCATATTGTGATCATTATATTTCATATTACTCCTATATACTGATATCTTATTTCAAAGTGAGTTATGGGCAGATAGTTAACAATGTGTAGCTTCTCATTAATGGAAAACACAATAAGGCTTAATCATTTCTATTAATATAAGATTACTAATTTTCCAATTACATTTTGAATCAACTTTGATGTCATGCAAATAATTCAAAAATTATATTAATACCATGACTTTTAATACATAGACTATATGTAATGTATTCTCATAAAAGGCTTGCTCTCTTTTTTGTGTGTTTCAAGAAATAAGTTTTCTACAAATAATGTTTCCTTCATTTTTTCATTAACTACCAATTTTCACTTTATCCTAACACACACAAAGTTAAAAAATTAATTCTGGGACAAGAGTAAGAAATGTAGAGACCACTGCTTCTCAAGAAAATGTCTAAGGATGAGAGCAAAATATTGTGAATGGAATGAACTTTAATGATGAGTTTGAACACTGACAGGCACCGCCTCCATACTTCTCATTAGAGAATGACCAACCTAATTTAAAGTTTGTGTGTGTTTGTATGCATGCCTGCTTGTATTTCTGTAGTGGCTGCATTCCAAAGGGGAGCATGCATTGTTTCCTTGAAATCCCTTTTATTACTTTGCATATTTAAAAAGGGGAAAAACACTCTCAGTTCTTGTAATCATAAAGACAGAGCAAGACGACAATATACACAGTTTCCATCACCAAAAGCAAATTCTGAATAAAGAGGGTTGGGGGAGGATTCTTCTCCCTGGATACATTAACGTAAGTAGCAGCACACTGTAAGGGATGAAAAAGAAATCATTTCAGGGAGTTGTGAATTGCAGCTGGGCTTACCTGAGCACAGACTCCAGGAGCTAAAAGCCAGAAGCATCACGCATACCAGCTGGATTTTCATTGCTGCCTTCATTGCTTTCTGCCTTCTAGCAAGCCAAGTCCTTGTAACTCAGAAACACGCTGAAGAGGGCTCTCTCTAGCACCGCCTGTTGCCTTCAGCTGGCTTCGAAAGTGAGTGAACTGTGAGAGATGCTCTGACCATTCCCTATATATATATAAATATATATGTAAGTAGGATGATGTCATGATTGCACAGGGATTATCTTTGCAGGATGTGCCCTTCCTTCATCTCTACCCCTGCCCCCTCTCCTCACTTCCTCTTCCCCCTTTCCTTGGCCCCCACTCTCCTCCCCCACTTATAAAGCTTGAGTGAATGTGACGATCTTCCCTAATTGCTGCTGCTACTCAGGATTTCTGACGCACAGAACGAGTCATTCAAAAACACTCTCATATACTATGTGCTAGCTGAGAACCCCCAGCACCATTCTTTCCCAATTTCCTCTCATTTCCCCACTCCAAGAAGTTGTCATTTTGATTTTGTGAAACATAGATTTGTTATTTCTAATACTTAAACAAAATCTCCGTGATTAATGAATGCATCAAATTAGTGAGCCTTTTGGCTTGGAACTTCTTAAAGACTTAGAGTATATTTTTTAGTAACCCAATCTCCCAAGCAAATCTTTTTTGATTTCATAACTATTACATGTTTTAGATAATACAAAGTAGGAGAAGGAATATAAGCAGTGAATAAGTTAAAATCCAAGGATTTGAGAACACAAAGAACATGAACAAAAAGAAAGAGGAATACTTCCAATAGGATGGTTTTCCTAACAAATTAAAGATTTTAATATAAGTAATTGGAAAAATAGCTGAAATATTTATCCTGACTTTTGGTTGATTGTCTTAGAAAAACACTATTGTATTTCTAAATCCTAGCTATCTGTTACTTAAGTGTTTGCAGGTGATAGACTTACCACTGATTTTTTTTTTAATATATTTTTTCCTGCCCACACTACTCTGCTCTTTTTGGATTCATTCTTGGTCATATCTCATTCTTCATAAAATTTCCTCCTCACTGATGTTCACGACTGCATCAACATTCTTTCCTGTTACAGTTCTCTGTAATGAGACTGCACTTTGGGAGAGGACGCAAACCCAGGTAACCACCACCCACCAAAGTCCCATTTCTAAAGCAAAGTCTTCACGTATTCCATGAGTTGCAGTGATACTCATTCTTTGTCTGTGTTCTCAGAGGAAAATTGCTTAAAATGCCTTTTGGAATGAAGCTATCTTCTTACATTAGCTATTTCAGGATACATGGAGTAATCTGAAAAGGCAGCACTCTTATGGGTGTGAATATTTAAAGATAAAGTTGTTTGAGACTTGTTTAATTTTTAAATATATAAATCGATCAAGTAGTGACAATTGAGAAAAATTGTATTTCCCCTTATAGAAAATTGATCTCTATTTTACAGTATATGTTTATGAGATTAACTTCTCTATTCTTAACCATAAATTTGTGAAAAGGGATTAATTCCAGACAATAATTATTTAAGAATTAGGAGTCATTTATGGAATTTAATGCTCCAGAACTGAATAACAGCTGATGATTTTATTACCTTTAGTTTTAAAAATTTTTTTGTGGACCTACATATAGCACAGTATTGAACACTATTCACCTGGGGGAAATTTTCATAAAAGGATAATTAATTAGGAAAGACATGAAAATATATTTAAGTATGGATTTTTTGCTTTGCTACCATTAGGGGGCGCAATAACAGTATAAACGACTTTGTTTAACTGATAAAGTTAGAATTTTTGAGTATTCTGCTTTCCTTTTCCTCATTTTCAAAGCATCTTTGTGATAAAATCTTTTAAAAGCCACTTTCATGAATAAATAAATTATGTATTCTTTTATGTTCAAATCTTTTTCTCTGCTTTTGAATGGCAAGCACAATCAACTTAAAATGCTTGATAGTAGTTTATTAGTAAAAGGGAAGAATGTGTAAATTAGTTTAGATGTGGCATGATAAATATGAAAAAATAGGGTAAAACATGTTAATCCATGTCAAATGGCTCAAAATCAAGTACATACTATGTACTTTTTTTTTTTGAAAAATAAGGATGTGTAACTTTTTTCTGGTAAAATTATGATGTAGATAAACCTTGATCTCTCTAAATGTTTTACGCCTTTCCTTGTTAGCACTAATGCCTTCCAGCTATAGCAAAGTTGAATAATTTGTTTTAGGAACAGATTAAGTATGTATACTTACATTTAAAAAATACCCTAGAAAGTAGCTAAATAATACCTTGAATACAAGATTTTAGGTACCTTTATGTGGAGATGAATGTGCTGTCTTTATTCTAAAGGATTTTTATGTGAATCCTCCCAACTTTCACCTATCTATTAGAGCAACTGTCAGAGTCAGAGCATTCCTCTTTGATCCTGTGTTGACCTTTTAGTTTAAATTCACTAACTTTAAATGGATGTTGTTTGTCTGGGTTAATTGTAACCTCTCTATAGTATGAGACTTCTGTCCTCTTCTGTGACCTAACTCAGATCTTTATTAGGTAAGAAATAACCCAAAATAATTCACGGAGATACCTGGAAATTCGCATTAGAAAGCTCATTTAACTTAGCAATGCACGAACTCTGGAACTGCCTGATGAACAATAGTGTTTCAGTTCTATAGCACTTTTGCCTGCAGTACCTTTGGAGGCTTCTTAGACTTCTCAGCCTCTCTATAGCTGAATAGCCAAAGTATAGCCTGAGGTGTTTGTGCCACCTGGGATCTGTCCTACATCTTCCTTTGACCATCTGGTCTGTCTCTTTCTTTTTTAATTTGTAACTTTTTTTAAAAAAGATTTATGTATTTATTTGAAAGTCAGAGTTACACAGAGAGAGGAGATGGAGTGGGAGAGGGAGGGGGAGGGGAAGAGGGAGGGAGAGAGGGGGGGAGAGAGAGAGAGAGAGAGGTCTTCCATCCGATGGTTCACTCCCCAGATTCCCCAGATGGCCACAATGGCTGGAGCTACATTGATCCGAAGCCAGGAGCCAGGAGCTTCTTTACTCATATACAACCTCTCCCCACCCCACCTCCACACACACTGGGTGGGGGGTGGAATTGGAGAGAGAGAGAGAAAGAGGGAAAGAGGCAACTGGTTCACTCCCCAGTTGCCCACAACAGTCCCAGAACTGGCCTGGGGCAAACCAGGAGCGGGGAATTCAGTCTAGGTCTCCCATATGGGTGGCTAAAACCCAAACATTCAAGTTATATCATTATTGCCTCCCAGGGTCTGCATTAGCAGGAAGTTGGACTCAGTGGTGGAGCTGGTACTTGACCCAAGCATTCTGTTATGGCACATGGGTGTCCCAACAAGCATCATAACCTCTATACCAAACATCCACTGTCTTTCTTTCTTTCTGACTTTATCTCTCATTTTTTTAAAATGATTTTATTTATTTATTTGAGAGGTAGAGTTACAGACAGTGAGAGGGAGAGACAGAGAGAGAGGTCTTCTGTCCATTGGTTCGGAACTCCGCCAATCCAAAGCCAGGAGCCAGGAGCTTCTTCCTGGTTTCCCATGCAGGTGCAGGGGCACTAGGACTTGGGCCATCTTGTACTGCTTTCCCAGGCCATAGCAGAGAGCTGGATGGGAAGAGGAGCAGCCGGGACAAGAACCAGTGCCCATATGGGATGCCGGCGCCACAGGCATAGGATTAACCTACTGTGCCATGGCGCCAGCCCCTTATCATTTTAAAGACAGTGCATTATAACCTAAACAACATAAATGTTTTTAAGTTTGAATTCTGAGAGTAGTCTCATCTATCTCTCTTCTCAGCCTCTGTTAAATGTTCATCAGTAGTTTGTACTGATCACATAAACTTGCAAGCAGCTCAAAAGATAGGAATCTTTCTTACTGACTGCAGTATCGCTTCTTATACTTACAAGGACTTGGCATTTGAAACATACTGAATTAAACTATAATGCTCATTATTTTAAGCTTCTTACACGTTGTTTCCATTTTTAATATTCTTTCACCCACGAGCAAAGATCCTTTGTTAGCATTAATCTTTATATTGAATGTGAACCTTTACAATAGTCAGTTTTCTCAGTCTTTCTCCAGTCATCCATTTCCCCCCTGACCAGGAAAGTCAACTCTCAAAAATCGTTTAAGAACTTCACCCTGGCTGGGATCATGTGGTTAGGACACGTGTGGGTTTACTTCATTTATCTAAATGAGTCTCTGGTTTGGAGCTGTAACTCTGATTCATCTGAACAAACAATGATGTCAAACTCATGGTAAACCCTATTGATTTTTCTGTTCAATTAACGTCCATTTTCTAGGCATGGAAATAGAGACGTGCATGCACACAGGCACACCCACATGCCCTTATACACAAAATGCATAGAACGGAGACCTCAGAGATTTATGCAAACGTAAACCAAAATCTAGAGCTAACTATGCTTTGCATATCATCTTTACAGATTCCCAGCTCATTTTCCTTTGGCTCTTCCTGTCTCTTCTCGCATCAAGTAGGTCATTACTTGGAAAAATTGATGGTGGATTTCTGAAGTGAAAGCCTATTCTGCAATTTAAACTCTAATTACAATGTGTGCTTTGCTGGGGCCCACATGTTGGTAAGCTACCGCATTTAGTTAAAGGTGTTCCTCACTGCAGTTATTGCTAACTTCACCTGTAATCTTTTTTTCTGATATTTCTAAGAAAATATTGAAATACTAATAAAATCACTACCCACTGTGTTTAATGCTCAGGAAATTGTCCTGATGAGCCTCTTTTTTTTTTTTTCAGTAAGACCAAAATAAAAGCTCTACAGGTAAGAAACAAAATCCTTCATGCTATCCTTTCATGTTTCTTAGTTTTACAAATGAGTGTAATTACCTATTTTATTGAAAGAAATATTGTACTTTTCTCTCCCTACCCATCCCCTATCTTTTCATGGTCTAAGACTATTTCTGTACCTGCTTCAGTACCCCAAGCAGAGTGGGTACCAGTGCCTGCGATTTGCAGAGCAAAGTTGTGCCTGGAGAGCAGAAGCAGAAGACTACAGTGAACAGGCAAGCTGTTTGAGTCTAAAAACAAGCACTGTAACTAATACCACAGGCCCAAGAGCAATCCAAAAATTCAATCTGAAATTAAAAACTTGTGCTATGACAGGCATTATGCCGGGCTAATTTGAT